TTATACATTTTATATTACCAACATATTGTTTTTCCATGACTCAAATGAAATAAAATGCGTTACAATCGAAAATTTCCGATTTCTAAAATACCAGTCATATGAAAAGAAAGTCGTGCTGCAAATTCTAGACAACACTTTTATTTCAAACGCACGTACAAACAACGATATACAAATATCATCAAGGCGATCGATCGTTCTTCATTCACAATTGTCCATGGCCTACCGATCGATAATGGTTTATTACGAAATTAAATATTGTTAATAATCATATCACATCATTCCGAGTTCATTGAAGCATAAAAGCTTTCTTGAGATATACACTTGCAATTGTATTGTGCCAGGACTAATATGGAACCCATAATAATAGGCAGGTGCTATGCAGGCCGCACACGACGCGGTCGTCTTTGGTTCCACAACAGTCCACGAAGACACCTGGAGTAAATGGAAATTTACTACCTTTACTCCTTAGTAAAATCTCTGAGATAGTAGAAATGAATTTTTCTCTGAATTTTGATGAGTTGATTTGGTAGACTTTGGAAGTAGAATAGTCGCAAGGGGACGCCATTAATCACGTGCTCAATTTTTTAAAGGATTTTCAAACTTCTCTCCCACTTGGTGATACGTGGTGATATTAAAAATTAACCCTCCTCCCCCACCAAACATCACGTGTATTTTTAGTTACAAGAAAAAATTGTAATTTTTTGGATTTTTTTTTTTGAAAATGTTTGGATTTAAAAAAATCAGGAAAAAATAAATACACGCGTGGGAGTAGTTATGAATATGAAAGTATAAACTCAACCTTGCATAAAAAAAATATAAAATTTATAGATTATAAAAATTAATGATATGACTTGAAATATCGGCAAATGCAATAATGCCATACTATGTTAACTTTTTCCTAGGTGATAATGTTATTTTACTTAACTGAGCATTATTCGTCATTTTATGCAAAGTCTCATGAGGCAAATGATTAATTATAGAATGTATTTTAGAGTAATCACTCATACTCATAGATGAAAATCTGATTTTATGAAGAATTTCACTATCAATTAGTATTTTTGAACACTATCCATAGATATGTTGATTCCTTGAATATCACATTCGTTTAAATACCATTTGTTTATTATATCAAGTAAATCAATTTCCGAAATATTTATTGTTTCTTGCTTTGCTATTTCAAGCATTGTCAAGGGATGCGGATGATAGTCTGTTTCCAAAAATACATATTTAGGATGTGTGCAGATTACTTGCATTGCAGCTTTTATCAAAAAATCATCATGTATGACTATAGCAAAGTCTAATATTTCCAATGCATTACTAATTGATAGATTTTTCATTATATAGATTTTACAAATACCTTGTAAATGATGTAACATATACTTTATCGAAGCATAGAGTAATTTACAAGCATTTTCTATAGAAGGTATAGAACTTTTATCAGTATAAATGTAGCTCAACATACACTTAAATGCTTCTAAATCAATATCATATATATTAATAACATCAACTTCAGCTAGGGATCCATACAGCATTGCATCAAAAACAGGACTTGCAGAAGCAAGGATTACTCGATGAGCATAGATGTAAGTAGAATTTATTTTGAAAACACAATCACTCCATTGTCTTGATAATAATAGTTTCCCAATTCGATCTTGAAGCTTTACTAACATTGTTGAATCATTTATCTACGTTCAATTATGACAAAATAAATTGATTAATAAAATTAGGTGATTATAAAGCGTAGTATAGCATAAATACTTACAGAAGGAATATGTTCCATTATTGGGCACTAAAGAAAAATGTAACTGTAAACGATATACCCAGAAAAAACGACAAATTCGAATAAATAAAACCTTGAACTCATAACTGTCAAACGTGTTCTTCAAGGTCTCGCATAATTGCAAACAACAAATTGTCTAAACAGAATAAATCATTGAATATGCGTCTGCTGCTTAGATGACGATTAATGTTTATTTAAAAGTTATTCAAATTTTTATTATTATTTTTAGGTTATACTAGTATTCGAATATATAAATATAAATAGTAAAAAATACATGTGCACGAATGTAAATAAAATCATGTTCATATTAATATATTAACATCTACAGCAATTTAATATAAAAAAAACTTTGATGTATTCGTTTTAATCAAATTTAATTTTCATTTTCTATGTTATTATCATCCTTAAACTTTATTAAAATATTTATGCAGAATTATCACACAGAGATATACGAACAGATACAATTATACTTTCTCTCTTAGCCATTATATATCGTTCTCGAGATTTTAGTGTATGTGAAAGCACTTAAAACATTTTTAACCCTTTCGGAGTCCAAAGGGTTAATAATTATTTAAGAAACGACCCAGTAGATTTATACCAAAAACTAATCATTACGATACCAAACCAAGAACAGTTTTTTAATTTTTAAATCGGTTCAGGATTTGTTAAAAAGTTGAACGAAAAATTTTAGACTTCTCTAGTAAATAAAAAAAAAAACAGCTTAGCCGATCGCCGCACAAAACTATAATCCTTAACTGGTTACATCGAATGGCTTTTCTTTTTTAAGTTTAAAAATTAATTCGGCCGTTTTTTGACAAACCGTCGACAAAAAAGGGAAATTGTTCCTCATTTTTCAAGAAGTTTTTTAAAAGATAATTGTAATAATTATAATAAGTATTAATATAAAAAATTAAAAAATCTCATTAATTCTTTTAAGCAGTAAATGGAATGGAATCTGAAAAAAATTGAATAATGTTTGATTAAATATATTAGAGTATTTTAATAAGTCATACTGAAAAATATATTCCTCCATATGTTAAATACTCATTTGAAATTAGATTACTTTAATGAAATAATTGAAAAAAACAAAGCAATATGAAAAAAAACGAAAAGATGTAAGTTATCGAATAATTTATGAAAAGTTTAATTTGTTTGTAAAAACAATTCCAATGCCTAAATTTAATAAAAAAAAAATACATGAAACTTTACTGTTTTTACTATTCATAATAATTAATCGAAGAGATTGTATCTGTGTCAGCACTACTATTTAAATAGAAATGTAAAAGTAAAAATTAAAGACATAAGTATAATATATAAAAATTGATTTATATACAAAAGAATTGTAATATTTTTTGCACATCAATTTTCTTGATAGATCATTTTAAAAATTTCAACAAACGATGTTACATATTGTCATATATAACATGGAACAATTTAATTATTATAAACAATTTATCGATGAATTTTAATAGAAAAAATAGTTTTTTTACTCTTATTGATTATTTTCTCCTATTGATGTTCATTGAAGGAGCTAGGTTGATCAAGTCAAACAATTCCGTGTGTTCTGAAATAAAATGTCATTTACACTTTTTTAT